TATGAATCCCATTGTCCAATTGTCTAGGCACCAAGTAGAAATTGAAACAAAATACCAGATTTTCTTTTTCGAGAGGAAAATGTGAAAATTCAATCTTATTCTTGCTGAGAGTAGCAGGTTATATTTCTGTTATTTGAGATATAGAGTGACCTTCTTACGTAGCTAGTAAAGGAGGAAATTAATTGCTTGACGGTACTCTTATTTCAGGCTACATATTTTTTCACACATAGTATTAATTGCTGTTTTTGCACATTTACCACAAGTTGAAGTAAACAACCTGGTATCGCTTTGGGTTTTTGTATAGCCTGCATTATCTATAATATAAAAATGAATCACAATATGTGTTGTAAGCGCATAAACTGCAACAACACCTGTGCAATTTGGCCATTCTTTTTTTCTATATGTTCGTAACAGTTCAAGGATTGCGTTTTTACGTCGAGAAAAATTCCACAATAATTGCCGGAAAACCCTTAATAACAGCCCTTTTCTTTTCCCATACAAAACGTTTTACTAACTAAAACATAGAGCAATTTGAGCTTTATAGCTATTGCATATAAGCACTCTTGTGTGTTAAACTTTGTTGTTGTTTCTAACGTCAAAGAGTCAATTTGACGCTTAATTTAACCGTTATACAAAGTTCAAATTCTATCATATCTATCAAAACATGTGCGTGTGTGCGTTGAGCGCAGAAACTTCGTTGGAGAATTTAAGTGTCGCGTTCCGAACTATTAACAAAATAATGTATAATATTAGATATGCTCCTATAGACGAAGCAATTTAGGGTTACAAGATCCCAATGCTACAAACGCAAGCTAATACCGATCCAATATAATGCTTGCCAAGAACGTGACGACCGAAATGAACGTGAAAAAATTCGGATATCCAAACACGTGTAGCGCGAGCGCCTACATTTAACTAAATAATTGCCGCAAGTTGATCGAGCTGCTTTCAGTTACATGTCAATTGACTACAGTAACTAACCATGTGTTGTTATTGTTCTAGAACTGGTTTGCTGCATTTGTTAGTAGGCATGAAATATAAAAACGAAGCTAATGGATTGTGTTGCGCAAATGGTAAAGTGAAATTGATACCATTGGAACCACCACCAGAGCCATTGTTAACTCATTGGTTTCAGGAACTAGGAAACAGATTCCATACACTTTTGACAAATATCCAAGAAATATACAATTGCTTTTTAAATGACTTCAATTTGGGTCAAACAAATGTAGTCGCGGAAAATATGTATGCCTACTTTCAAGGATGCATTATAGCATGATAACATAATTATTTGGTTCTGTCACGTAAGTTAAGATGTGTCACTAAATCTTCAATTCTTAATCATTAATATCATAATCATCTCTTAGTCAAGAAATTACAACGAAGCATTGATATCAATTGAAGAACATGGTGCTTGATGAAAACAAACTATTAATTCAATTAGTCCTGGCGCACCCAATCGTCCAATGCATGATCTTTTAACCAAAAGAGTTGAAGCGAGAAAAACTGTATGATCTCAACACTGAAAGAATTAATGTCAAACAAATATTCCACTGTTGAATGAACAACAGAAGTATATGTATTGATCTCTTAATGAAAGTAACAAACGATGAAACTGGAGGATTTACTTCTTAGATGCCACCTGGTGGTACAGGAAAAACTTTTTTGATTTAATTAATTTAGCCAACGAATTCACTCCCGCAAAAATAACAATTTCACCTTGCACTCGCTTCGCGCGGGAATCGCAGCATCTTTGACTTGAAGGTGGCCGGAACAGCCATTCAGAATTAAATGCCATTAAATATGCAAAGAATAAAACTCCGACCTGGCAACATTCGAAGAACTCTGCAAATGCAAAGGTCTTGCAGCAAATGTAAATTAATGATTTGGAATATGAATGCACGACGGCACATAAAAAATCTTTGCAGACTTTAGACAGAAACCTTAAAAGATCTACGGAGCAATCATAACCAGTTTGTGGTGCAATGATTTTATTAGCAGGAGATTTCGTCAAAACATTGCCAGTGATTCCCCCCACCGAATTTTTTCAAACACCAGCTAATGAACTCCATGCATGTCTAAAGTCCTTCCAAATTTGGTGGAAACATGTAAAGTACTTCATTTAAGCAAGAATATGCGTTCGAGTGTCTTTGGAAAATGACCAAACTGGAAACATATTCTCTAAAAAATTCATTGACATTGGTAATATAATATTTCCTATAGACATGTTGACTGCAGTATTAACTTTCCTCAAAGTTTTGTCAGTTAACTCGATCAAAAGATGAACTTATTCTGAAGGTGTTTCCAGATGTTTCTCAAAATTACAGAAACCATGATTGGTTTGAGCGAACGAGCTATATTGGCTGCAAAAAACATAGATGTAAATGAATTAAATTTAAAAATTCAAGAACAAATTACAAGCGATCGAGGATATATAAATCGGTTGATTTGGCTACTAACCAAAGATGTAGTGAACTATCACCAGAATTTGTAAACTCGCTGGATTTGCCAGGATTGCCACCTCACAATCTTCAATGAAGGTTGGGTCGGCAGTTATAATGTTGCGAAATATCAACCAACCACGTTTTGCAACGGCATACCGTTGGCGATAAAAAATTACTAAACAATTACTAGCAACTATACTCAAAGGAAAGTAAAATGAGAAGACGTCTCATACCGCAAATCCCAATGATTCCGGACTGATGAGCCGTTTGACTTCAAACGACTACAATTTCCAGTTGGCTTGCTTTTGCTATGACCATAAAACAAGTCCCAGGGGCAATCATTAATGTTTGTGGTGTTAATCTTAAAAACCCATGTTTCTCACATGGGTTTTTTATATGTTGCCTGTTCCCGTGTTGGAAAGCCATCAGATTTTGTTTGTCTATTGCCAAGTAATCAAAAAAAACAAAAAAACATCGTATATCACAAAGCAATACAATGAAAATAAAACTGATTTTGTTACTAATTATGATTCACATGATTAACAATAAGGCGATTACATAATTTTAAATGCTTATATATGTTTAATTTAATTATATTTCTTATTCACAACGCCCTAATCACAGGGTGACGGTTCCTGTGTTCGTAGAGAATTTTTTGCCGCAGCGCACTATAATATATGTAGGAAGCCAAAAAAAAATTCACATTACACATCTTTTTGACAGGACGAAGTCTGTCGGGTCCGCTAGTAAATTATATTTTTGGTTGCAATAAATAGTTGATAATTGGGCACATGGGATAATTTTACAGCACAAATGATGACGTATTTGATTTTAGGCACGAATGATTGAGTCATCACATATTCAGCCAATTCCAAAGAGACAATCGTGGGGAGGCAGAGATGAACGGAACAGCCAACCACCGCTTTTTCACACAGGTGTCAAATACCCGAGACAACACAGAAAAGTTTTTTCACAAAATGAAGTTAAACTCTCTTATAAATGTATAATTCTGTTATACAAAAGATACCGTAAGCCACTCGTTTATAATGTTGCTGCATTGAATTCGTACAATTTTTTTTAAAACTCCCTTCTAACGTCGCTCGATTTCAAAACATGTACTCATGCACCAAAGCTTACATTATGAACTAATTGCGTAAACTACTATTATGGTACCAATAAACAAGAAACCAATGTTTTACCTAGTGGCAATGCATAAAACGAAGTTTTTTCACTATATGGCAAATATACTTCTTTCTCGTAAAATCCTCGCTCTCAAATTTTTCACGAGCTCCTATCGTTGCTTCTGAAGCTCAAGTGACGTTTCCTTGGCCAAATTTCTGTAAAACAGGTACTCTTACTAACACCCGCACAAACACTATTGAGAGAGTTTGTCACCGTCTGAATTCTATAAATACGCTATTGTATTGTTTTTGAATTTTCATAAAAACTTTTCATTATCTAATAGAGCCATAAAAAGCTATGAACATATTCTGGATGCAACTGTGCCTTTTTAAGCATTCAGTTTAGTGTTTTAACACAGCAAATTATTTTTCTAGTATTTATGAAAACTAGTAATATATGCGTGGAAAATTGGCATGATAAGTGTTTATATCGGTCCCTTCAACTACCCGAAAGAGGCATAATGTTTTTTACAAAATTTTGTATTTTAGTTATTTACACTTGAGTCATTCAGCTGAATCTGATCTCAGTGAAAGAAGAAAATTGAAGGAATTTTCTGCAAATAGGAAAGATGAATGAGTGGTAAGTAAACACTAGCGAGTAAAACTATAGCTTATGATGAGAGTGTATGTGCTTTGTTAATATATAATATTGTATTAATATATAATATCGTGTGTGTGTCTCGTTATAATCTGCGTGACAACTTTCTAGAAATCCAGATCATCACCTTTATCTAGAACAAGGGTCTCTATATTACGACCCGTAGGCCACATCCGACCCTCGGCAGTATTGTATGCGGTCCGCGAACACAAATTATATTGTAATTCACCTTGATCATGACTCAGTCCGTTACATTTTATTTACACATACAAGAGTCTCGTTTCCTATTATTACACACTCTTTAGTCCACACACAAGCCATTTGAGAGACATTTTAAAAATAGGTTACTCTCTTTTAGGTACGTTTTAAAGTTTATGTCACTTCTGGGTTTTTGAAAAGAAGTGACTGCAATTAAATTTTTAAATTGTAGCTCTCAATTAAAATTAATTATTACAAATACTTTATCCTAATTTGTGTGTTCGTATTAGAATTAAGAATTAATATATGGATTAATAACTGTTTTGTCGTTCATTTATAAAATACCGTTTTAACAAATAATTTTTAGTTCTCAAGTCTCTTAAAAACTTTCTATCCAGCCCTCAACAGAAGAAACTTTGGGAACTCCTGGTCCAGAACGTATTAGTTTCGATTGTTCTCAAGGGACGGCGGTCTGTTAAATCCTTACCGAACGCTGGCCGTTAAAAGCGATTATTTGGTACCCTCATTTTTGTAAGTTGACAGTACAGTATTATGAAAAAAAGTGAACGTCGTGGCGCTTACCCCGCTGATCGACCACTGGCGTGATGGAGGTGTCAGGGCTGGCCACGGCCCCCACGCCGAACACGTCCGCGCCCAGCGGGGCCATGGGGCTGGTTCTCGGAATCTGCAGAAGCCCTTCATCAGAAGTTAGAATTACTGACGATGTGGATTAAGGTCACATGTGTAACTTTAAATAAAATTGCCCTCGTGTTTATTGTAAAATAATACTCTTCGACCCTCTACATTAAGAGTACTTTCTACGTTTATTCTAAGACATCTGTAGATGATAACATAAACAAATATACATCCCAAAGTAGGAAAACTAGATATGCTACAACAGAGCATTCCCACATTATTCATTAATTAGCAATTTTATAAAATTCAGAGTTCATTGAAAAACAGATGAGCGCCATTCTTTTAAGCTTCCCTTCTTCTATTTGTGAAAAAAATGAAGAAACATTTTCGAGTGGTTTTTGAGAAAGTATATTATATAAATTGCATTAACTTCAAACCCAAATTACGCGGAAACTACTTTTAAAAATTGTATATGACCTTTTTACAGAGCAGAGTTTTTGGAACGGATTTTGTTTTAGGCAAAAATCATTATCTTCAATTTTGTAGATTTGAAATGTAAGTTTTTTTTGCAATTTTCAAAAATACAAGAGTTAGCGGGAAATCAGACACACACAATATATTTTACGTCTCTTGATTCATGAAAGGAGAAACTTTAAAGAAAAATTTAGTGCCATTTTCGAGAAAAAAATTACAAAAAAATAAAAATTGCCTATATTTCTCCCACAATCCAAGAAAAGTACTCGTATTTTCGAGAGAAAAAAAGTACAGACCTTATTTGAAGACTTAACTTTAAAGAAAAGATTTCATTTTGAAAATTCTGTATCTCTAGTGTTACAGTTATATGCAAAATCTAGAATTCCAAGTAACATGTGACCTGCACCATTCACTTGAACATAAATACTTATTTTTTAATAACGTATATACATTTCAGTGCAGTCTGGCTTAGTATAAATACTATCCTACTATATTTCTGCTATATGACTATTATCTATACTACTGCTACTATTTACAATATGTGAGTTGTTGGTTAAAACTTCCTATGTATGCTATTAGATTTTTTTATAATTCGTAAACGTCGAATGGCTCTTCCGCTCAAAATCTAGTTTTGAGTGGCTTGTGTCCAGCGTTGATCCTCTTGCACATTTTCATATATTTTTTCACCTCACTATCACTTAGGCTGCCACCAGCTTCTTGCTCACACTTCACTGACACTGGAGGCACATACTTTCTAGGCAGGGGCTCCATCTTGTCGTCTGGTGTTGCTGCAGGTCTTTTCTATTGTTCCGCAGTTAGCTTCCAGTGGCACGGGTTGCCTCTGCGGACTCTGTCCCGCGCTATCTGTACTCACGCGGGGCCAGTGTATTGCCGGTGTTCGTTTAGTAGCACGCCGCACTTCCATCAATAGCTACAGTGATTATTCTTTCTCCTAAGTCTTTTATCTTGTGGCTGTCTGCAACTTTCTTTAGTGTGGCGTCACTACCCGCACACCATTCTCCCATTGTTCGTACCACAAGCGGGAGTACTACGGCGCTGTGGTTACCGACGGTAATGAGGTGGGCCCAGGTGGCTTCATATTTTTGGCGCTTTTCTTCTAACTTGCTGTTAAGCAAGTTCTTTGCGCTATACAAGGGTAAAGTTTAATAAAAAATAGAGCTTTTTTGAGAAAAAAATTAAAATGGTTTGTGGCTTCATGTCAAGAACCCTCAAAAAACAAAATATCGGTTAAACTCCCAAAGACTTCAGTTCGTTCAGAAAGATCCGGTAATATCAATTGTGAAGAAAATCAGCTAAAAGGTTTAGGCGCTTCCGTTGACCACAGACGGACGGACAGAGGAACCAAATCGCCAATCAATCGATTGCCATCAATAGATTTTTCGGTATCTAGGGCCCACCAAACACGGGATAATGGCTACACCAACTGTTAGAGGAAGTACATGATTAGACATGACAACATGATTTATCCACTTTTTCGTTACCGTGGTCCAGTAATGAGTTTATCTGTCGAAATTTCACCATTTTGTGTCTCGCGAACGCATCTTCATACGAAGTGCAAGAAAGTAAAAATAGGAAAAGTGTTTGTAAATAGATACAACAGTTTTGCTGTGAGAGAAATTATGAACGTCCATCAGAAAAATCATTTCATATTTCAAACATTTTGAATGACTAGGCTAGCAGTACTTTTAAAATAATTGTTCTTTAATTAGCTTATGTTTTGTTTTGTAATGTTACGTGTTTTTTCATGTTTCTTAAGGTGAAACGGTAGGCCCTATCTCATCAGTTTTAAAACTAGCAACTTTGTGACCCATTTTCTCAGGAACTACTGAATAAATTCTAATGGATTTTGCACTACTTGATGGGAAGTGATTCAAAAAGAGATTACTGTTCTTAGTTGAGTTTGTATTTCTATTCTGTAGCAATTTATAATTTATTTTCGAAAAAGCTATTCTTTCTCAAAAAAGTGTACGCATGGACTAGAGAAGTAATAATCATGATTGAGAATCCACATTCTTAGTATAACATGATTGATCATCACTGAAAATTTCATGCATATGTTTTGAATAGTTTTAGAGATAATGAGGCAAAAGTTTGAAAATTGTAACTTGTGAGAAAATGGCAATCATTGTTTTCAAAGATCCAAATATTGAAATAATTAGAATATTTTTCTCTAAAGAGTGAGTTACGGTAGCCTACATCTTAATAACTTGTTTCACTATCTTTCACACCAGCCTGAGTTTTACTTTTTTTCTTTCCTGCCTTCTTTGACATTTGCGGATCATTATATTCTGTCTTTGCAATGCGTAATATATCAAGTTCTCTAAAAATATATTCATACTTTTTCCTAGACGTAATACGTATTTTTCTCAGTACTTATCATCTGGCAAAATTTTCATCGTATTATATTACGAACAGCTTCAGACATTCCTATATGTAAGGTTTTGAAACCAACAAAAATATGTTTGGTATCCTTGTGCAAATGGTGTTCTTGAATGCCTCACATTCTGGTTTGCATTCTGAGACGTTATGTCTTCATTTAGTATTCATAGTTCTTAATTTCTGTATTTACACAACGTTTCTTCCTTTTGGATGAATTTGGAGGAGTTTCTCATGCATTCGGACTCGTGTTTTCTTAATTTTCTCGATGCAAAGGATATGATCTGAAATGATAATTTTCTTTGAAAATGCGTTCTTTTAAGATTTATTTATATTTCGCCATTATAGAACATATAAAACTATTTCTTTTAATATTGTATCCTATAACATACCGTTGAAATGAATTGAACTTTACAACAAGCACATAAAGTCAATCTTCTATTCTACATGCGAAGTAATTGTTCACAAAAATGTATTAACACAAATTGGACAATCGCACAAACAGTTTTATCAGCACTGCAGACAATTCATTTACAAAAGAAAACAAAAACTATCTTTCTGACAAAATTACAACCAGAGGTATTAGAAGTAGTCAGGGAGCGAATACAGTAATATTGCAGTCTGACAGTTGTCACTGGCATCTTTAAAAGTAAATTTCATACAATTATAGGTGGAATATGTCAATGATTCTGTCCTAGAAATTTTCATTAAAGAACATATTATTTAATTACACAAAAAAATAAAATTCCAATTTTTATAAAAATATTCAGCATACCTTCCATCTTATATTAACTTGTTTTCACATCTTTCACGCACATGCTCAGCCTGAGTTTTAACTTTTTTTCTTTCCTGCTTCTTTGACATTGCGGATCATTATATTCTGTCTTTGCAATGGCGTAAATATATCAAGTTCTCATAAAAATATATTCATACTTTTTCTCTAACGTAATACGTATTTTTTCTCAGTACTTATATCTGGCAAAAATTTTTCAGTATTATATTACGAACAGCTTCAGACCATTCCTATATGGTAAGGTTTTGAAAACCAACAAAAATATGTTTGGTAATCCTTGTGCAAATGGTGTTCTTGAATGCCTCACACTTCTGGTTTGCATTTCTGAGACGGTTATGTTTCATTAGTTTCCATAGTTCTTATACTTTCGTGTATTACCACAACTGTTTCCTTCCTTTTGCGAGAATTTGTGTATGGAGTTTTCTATCATAGCCATTCGGGACTGCGTAGTATTTCTTAATATTCCTATCGATGCAAAGGAACTATTGACATATCGATAATTTTTTTGAAAATGCGTTCCTTTAAGATTATTTTATATTTCGCCAATTATAGAATACATATAAAACTATTTCTTTTAATATTGTATCCCTATAACATACCGTTGAATGAAATTGAAACTTTACAACAGCACATAAAGTCAATCCTTCATATTCTACATGCGAAGTAATGTTCACAAAAAATGTATTAACACAAATTGGACAATCGCACAAACAGTTTTAATTCAAGCACTGCATGACAATTCATTCAAAAGAAAACAAAACTATCTTTCTGACAAAATTACAGACCAGAGGTATTAGAAGGTAGTCAGGGAGCGAATACAGTAATATCGGCAGTCTGACATGTTGTCACTGGCAATCTTTAAAAGTAAATTTCATACAATTATAGGTGGAATATGTCAAATGATTCTGTCCTTAAGAATTTTAATTCAAAGAACATATTATTTATTACACAAAAAATAAAATTCCAATTTTTATAAAAATATTCACATACCTTCTTATCTTAAGTCTTCGGAAATATTCTGCGAAACATTCTAAATTAATTTTCTTTGTAGAAATATCCATGTCTTCATGAAATCATGAAAATCAGCAGGCGTGTGAATATTTATACCTTTCGCATGATCTGATTTAATAAAAATGGTGCACTGTTTTCAATCTTCTTTTTCCTTGTTGTATTTTATTTTTAGTGTATGAAATATCTTTATTTGCCTAAATATTCGTACTAAATACGCTCGTGAATCATAGATTTATGGATATTTTTCCTAGTTCACTAATAGTATTATTTTATGATAGTCTTTCTGTGTGTAGGAGAACCTGTTCACTGTTATGGCTGGCCAAAAGCTGTGCCAGTAGGGCAGTACGCCAACTGATCATAGGTC